TCTGCCTGTAGAATAGTTAATAGACTCAGTTAATTAAGTTAAATACAGCATGGTCAGGGTGGTGTGTGTTTTAACAAAAAGAAAAGTATAAAGCAAAGAACCACTACTTACGTGTTATTTTTGAGTGCTGCAAACACATCTCTGATGCTCTGGCCCTCAGCAGTTAACCGTACCAGGTAAGCAAGAAACAGGGATCCTTTCTTTAAGAAACCCAAACAACTAAAATAATTGAATTGTACTGTTTTCTGTGTTACAGAAACACTCACAGGCACCCGTCAAAAGCAAGGCTTTGTTATTCTAGGTACCGTACCAATACATAGGAATATGTGGTCCCTGCCCTGGAAGAACTTAGTTAAATTTGAAACAGCCTGTGGTTTAGATTTTTTTTTTTAAGACACATCAATTTGGGGATTTTTTGCCTCTAAGTATTTAACGTTTCTGTGGCTGAAGAATGAGAGCAGCACTTCACAGAATATTGCTTTAAAAAGAGAAAAGCATCAAAGAAGCCAAATACAAATACAAAAATGATACATAGACGACTACAGAACGGTGCTCAGTTTTGTTTCCCATTTTCATGAGAATTAATATTACCTCCTGATCTAAGCATATTTAAACTTTTTTTAAATCAATTATGAGGAAAAGGTTAATTGGTTGGGTTTATTTAACGTCCTTAGATAAGAGTTAATAGTAAGTGAAATGGAAATAATTATAGATTCCAAGGCCAGAAAGGAACACTGTTGTCATAGGTTAATGTTCTGTTTATTAGTAGCTGTAGTTAATTGTAATTTTTTTTAAATTGGTCTCTGAAAGGAAAGTCAAGGAGAATTAAAACAGTACTTTTGATATTTCACATGAAAAAATAAGGCCATTGATTTAAGAAGTATAGGAGTTTGTACTGACTGCATTTTATAGAGGGGAAGATGAGGTGTACAAGACAAAATAATTGATTTCATGAAATTAAAATACATTTAACAAGATGAAGAATTTTCTCAGACCAACCTGTTCTTTTGCTCGCCAGAATATTTTGTTTCAAGATTGAGAGCTAGTGAGGGTTAAATTAGATTCTTAATTTGTGGCATACACTGATTCCCACCCAATCGTTTCCTAGCTGGGACGTAATATGTAAGCTGCTTTTTCTTTTCTTTTCACGTACTAAACACTGAAAAATTCAGTTACATAATCCCAATGCTGATAGAGAACCTTGTAGTCAGAGGAAAGCAAATGGTGCTTTACAGATGCAATTAGAGGAAGTTTGTTTTAATTATAGCTGCAAAATATTTGGTTACCTAGTTAATTCATGACACTAATAATAATGGTGACTGGAAATATTACTGCTTAGTTGTAGTAGTAGTAACTTCTACTGTGCAAATAGGTTAGGTATACAGTGATTTACGGTTTAGAAACAATCTCCGTCAGCTGATCTGGTTGAATTACAACCTTGTAATCTAGTCATGAGGCTTCTCTTTTGCTTCTGAAATTACAGCTGCTCAGAAATCTGTGTGCAGAGTTTCTGTCTACCATACATATATTTTGGCACATTAGTTTAACTCCTCCAGTCACAGTATGCTTTTAAAACTAGATAGAAACATCATTTCAGGTTGAATAGCTTGGTACTTCAGATGTGTGTGGCAGGAATATCCCTATTCTACCCCAAAATCTGTAGAAAATGACCACATTCATAAGCCACATTATTAATTTCTCAAGTCACTTAGCAATGCCAATGTCTACGAAAAAAAGGGGTTACCAACAATATTTTTCTTTTTTCACAGAAGATCTCTGCCTTCCCAGAAAAATAATATTATATTTAGGAATGGTGGGATGTGAGCACAGAACTGTTAGGAAGTCCTAATTCCAGCTGAGACTTTTTTTTCTGTGCCCTGGGATAATTCCCTCTGAATCAGTTTCTTTATATGCACTACTATTATTTTGTTTTCAGTAATATCCAAAACGTGTTAAACTCGGTGCAAACATCAGAATAGGCAGTGACCTGACCTAATCCCAAAGAGCTTACTTTGGAATTGAGATAATACCTACTTCACAAGGCTGTTGTAAGGCTTCGTTAGTTGTTTGTATAATGCTTTGAAGTTGAGGATGTTAAATAATTGTCTGCAAGTGAAACATGGTGCAGATATTTGTAACACCAGCTGCGATTCATATTTATATGCAGTAGTGATTCAGAGAACATAGCATTTGAAAAATGTAAGTTAAAAATGCTTTATTTCTTTCTGATGGTTTAGAATCACATTTCTGTTCTTTCTGGTCAGGATGGGCAGGGCTGGCATTTCATTGAGATAAAGTAATTTAAGACAGGACACTGGTAAATACTGGCTTTAACCAGGAAACAGAAAAATAATTTCTCCAAATTTGGATACATCCATTCAAAACTGAGGATTAGGCTCCATCTCTCCACTACATCAAAGTTGGTCTTCTGTTCTAGAAAGCTGCATGGCCAGATGGACCTAAAGTGATGAACGCTGAATGCTTCTGGTAGCTTACTGCTTCAAGCCCACAACTCTGCGTTGTTGTAGATTTTCATATAAGCAAATGCTTTTGACTTTTGTTTCAATAATATTGAAACCTGAAATGAGTCCTTGAGAAAATACCAAACCTAAATGTATATTGCATAGAGTAGTATTACACCCAGTGCAGTTTTACATTAGTCCACAAATCTGCTGCCTTATTGAACACCAATTTGAATGTGAAACTAAAACTAGGTGTAATATACTATGAATTAACCAACAGTTTTTAAAACAGGAATTGGTTTGAACTAGGACTAGCTAGTTTTACACAGAGCAGAGAAAATATGATTTACGTGAGAAAAACCACATCTGGTATGTACTAGGCCATCTTTGGGGGTGGGGGGAGGTGTTCTATGCTTGCTCATGTTCTTTGCCACCCTTTAAGTCCTGGAAATATCACTCCAGTTACTCACTGGCTTGGGTTTTAAGTAGGACTGCTTTTGTTTTGGTCTCAATCCTTAACCTCAGTGATTGTCAGTTTTTTTGCCATGGTAAGTTTTCTCCATGAATCTTGTCTTTGTGATTCATGTATGCACACATGGGATTTGAGAGCGGATTAGAAGTTTCTGATAGTATATTGTTCCTGTGTTAGTTCAACCTATCACTTTAAGAATACTCAGCAAGTTAGCCGGATTAGTCTGTAACTTTAAGAACAACAAGTAGTCCTGCGGCACCTTAGAGACTAACAAAAATATTTAGTATCATGAGCTTTCATGGGCAAAACCCACTTCATCAGATGAGTCAGAGAGGAATAACGGAAACCCAGAATTTATAACAGAAAAGGAAGTGGGGGGGGGGGGGGGAGTACCTGTCAGTTGTAGGACCAGTGCTAATGAGGCTAATTCAGTGGGTTGGAAGTGTCCCATATTTAGCTTTTCATGTAAAAATAAGGTGTTATAAGGCCAGCCTTCTCTGCATTTAATGCAACATCCAGTTAATGTCTTTGTTCAAGCCCCAGGAAATAGTGTCAAATTTGCAGATGGGGGGGGGGGTCAGTTCTGCATTCTCTCTGTCTGTCTGTCTCTCTCTCTCTGTCTGTCTGTCTCTCTCTCTGTAACTGACTAGTGAAATTCCTCTGTAGAGGAATGGCTACTTGTAAATCCATGGTTGAGTGCCCAGGCAGGTTAAAATGTTCCCTTATTGCAGTGGTCTCCAATCTTTTTAAGCATGAGATCACTTTTTGAATTTAAGTGCAATACAGGATCTACCTCAACCCCAAATACACTGGCCCTGCCTCCTTTGTACCCCTTCTCCAAGGTCCCACCCCTGCTCATTCCATCCTCCCTCCCTCGCTTTCACCAGGCTGGGGCAGAGGGTTGGGGTTCAGGCTCTGGTCTTGGATTAAGGGATGTGGAGTGAGAGAGGGGTCTAAGCTGAGCTTGGGGCAGGGAGTTGCGGTGGCCCTCGCTTTCACCAGGCTGGGGCAGAGGGTTGGGGTTCAGGCTCTGGTCTTGGATTAAGGGATGTGGAGTGAGAGAGGGGTCTAAGCTGAGCTTGGGGCAGGGAGTTGCGGTGGCAGAGGGGGCTCTAGGTGCAGGCTCTGGAAGGGAGTTTGGGTGCTGGGGTGCTCAGGGCTAGGGCAGGGGCTTGAGATGCAGGAGGGGGTTCATGACTAGGGTAGGGGTCTGGGATGTGGGCATCAGCCAGGCCCTTCTTACCTCAGGTGGCTCCTGGGGGTAGTGCAGTGGGGCTAAGGCAGGCCCTGTCCTGGCCCAGCACCGCTCCCCAAAGCAGCCAGCAAACTGCATCCCAAGTCCTGTTGTGCCCTCTCTCTGCTCTGTGGATATAGGATACAGGGTGGGAGAGGAGGGGGCACCGTGACATTAGCGCCCTCCTCTTCCTTCCCTGCTCTGCCCTTCCCTTCACAGAACAGTAGGAGGCTTCTGAGGGGACAGCTCCAAGACAAAGGGCAGGAGATGCAAAGTAGTCTTGGGGGTGGGCAGCTGAAGTGCTGGGCTCGATAACCTCTTGGCCAAACCAGTTAGGATCACCTGTCAGAGACTCCAAGATCTACTGGTAGAGTCCGATCTACTGGTGGTGGACCACTGCCCTACAGGTTTGTATGTTACCATTTCTGATGTCTTATTTGTCTCCATTTATCCTTTGTCGTAGAGACTGTCCAGTTTGGCCAATATACATGGCAGAGGGGCATTGCTGGCACTTGAGGGAATATATGACATTAGAGGATGTGCAGTTGTATGAGCTCCTGAGGTTGTGGCAGGCAGGAGCTGATAAGTGTAGGGAGGCAGCTTTTAAGTCCATATCGAAGGCAGCAGCGCTGGGGGAGCTGGCTTTTAAGCCTACGTGTACCAGCTCCCACGGAGCTGCATACTCTCCCTCCGCCCCGTGTGTAAATATGTAATGGCTGAAAAATTCAGCGGTTACACATTTACCAATATAAACGCATTTTAACATCCCTAGCAGGAAGAGGGAGGTTAATAATGATGAAATCCTAATACAATGTTTTCTCTCTTAAAACAGCTAGTAAAAGGCCTTCAACAGGAGCTGAACCGGTTATATATGCTGTTCTGTTCTCGAAATCCAGAGTTTGAAGAGAAAGGAGGGAAAGTCTCAATTGTGTCACATTCCCTTGGATGTGTAATCACTTACGACATAATGACTGGCTGGAATCCAGTTAGACTCTATGAACAATTGCTGCAGAAGGAAGAGGAGGATCTTGAAGACCGTTGGATGAGCTATGAGGAGCAACATTTGATTGAAGAACTTTACATAACTAAGCAACGGTAATGTATTCCAGATTCTCATTATTAAGGAGAAATCTGCATCCCTAAATGAAACGAGTTTTCCAGAGCTTACCATTACTTTTTACAGAACTGCCTGGCACGGCTACTCCTGTGCTGGCATTGAATTAAAATGGTAAGTGGAATTCTCTAACCACAGGACCAGACACATTAGTGAAGCTGTCAAAGGTAAGGATAGCTGGGATCAGTGACTGGAATTCTGAGCCCGTATCCTGCGCACTGTACAGGATTCAGACTGCTCGCCAGCAGGATCATCTTTTCATTGCCAGCTGATCAATGTGGGAACCACTTCCAGCAAGGGACAATAATGCAAGACCCTCCAAAGAAAGACGTTATTGACAATACTGTACCCCAGCAAGGTAACTAGATGTGTGCTGAAGCTGAGACTGCACACTACCCATAGGTGGGGAATGAGCCGTGATACAATGTGGAGTTGTAATTGGTATTGGAATCTTAGCTGGGCATGAACTGAGTTTCTAGAATTTAGGTTTTTTTATATTTTAAGGACACTAAGTATTCTAAACCTATTCAGGTTTAGGGAGAGGTCGAGGAATAAAGGTGGTTCTTTGAGCAATTGTACTTGTCCCTTCTACTTAGGTGCATGAACGCTCTGGTGCAGTGTCAGTTTTTCCAAAGCCGTACCAGTGAGCTGGTATAAGTGCCTTCTGCTGCCTTGTGCTGTATGCAGCCATAAAGAGCATGTCCTTCCTTTTTCCCCATGATGGTTATTGGAGCTCCTTTTTTTGTCCGTGCAAGTGTTTTCTTTTGCTCGCTGTAGTTATTGTCGTTAACACTCATTGTTATAGAGCAGTTTAGCTTAGTTTAGTTTAGATTTTGGTTTCTGGAAGTTGTTTGTTTGATCGCAGCTCCTATCTGAGCACCCATCTTGATATTAGAGTCATTTTTCATTCTTTTGGGTTGAAACCCTGCCGCTCACGTACCAGTTAGTGACCTGCTTCCAGCTGTCTTGAGTACTTGGGGGGAGGCTCATGTTAGTGGTAGGTGCAGTATTTGCAAGGTGGTTAAGCACTGATCCCAAAAGGACAGGACAGCTAGTCTAAAGTACATGCTTAAGTTGGAATTGGAGCTTCATCCTCCATTGGAGCCTTCTTGCACAGTCCAGGTATCAAGTGCCTCTGCATCAGGCAGCAGTGCTCTTCCGGCCTTGGTTTTATCGAGAGACCGATCAATTTCACTGGTGCCAAAGAAGGAAGAACATTGGACACCTTAAGATCAGAGGTGCAGAAATTGAGCTTCTTCCAGGAACTCAAAGGTACACCTCAAAAGAAGGCATTCTCCAGAACAAGCCTCAGAATGGCAGTTTATTGGCTCTGGAGCCCAGTTCAGGACCAGCTCACCTCAGGTTCTAATGCCACAAGACCGGAATACTTTCCCAGCACCGTCCACTATTGAGGTGTCGGTCAGTACCGCCTTCCCTGGCCATTCAAGAGTCTTGCTTGGCTTTGGCACTAATGGTTACAGCTTCAGCTCCCCACCATGAAGAACTGTCTGATTCGTCTATGATACTGACTAAATGGTTCCCTCAGAGCTTTTTTAACCCAGTCTCCATAATCAGAGCCTAGCTCTGGTACTGAGTGGACAGTTCCTGCATGGTCTGAAGCAGTGGGTTCTTCGGATTCCAAAGTAGGTTTTTATGTGTCTTTGTTTGGACATGTCCAGTAACCTGCATGCAGTGCCTGCCTACTCTGATTTCAGCCTCTGTTACAGCAGCGTGCAGACCACAAGGGATCGTTGCCCACAATTGGGAGTCAGGGCTTTAGTTGGCTTTCAGGGAACCCATGGGAGTTTCTCTCTAGTTAAGAATGGCCTCACATCCTTCCCACACTACCTCCTTGGCCCAGTCTTGTTGGTGAGGCCAGCCATGTGCGGGAACAAGATTCCTGAGTTTTTCTGAGAAGAGTTGAAACAAGATCAGTCCTAAAGGTCATTGGTATGTTCTTCCTCATCCCATATGAGGTTAACATGGTGGAACCTGTTTCCATGCCACTGGATGACTACAAAGCTCATCAGAATTTGTTGCGAGCGACGCATTTGGTTCTAGGCATCCATCTGGAGAAGGCCCAGGAAAAGTACAACAGGCTAGTGGACATTTTTAACATCAGAAGGCCATCAAGAATAGCTTTGCCTATTAATGAGTCTGTTCTGGCTCCTAGTCAGATTATTTGGAAGACCCCATCATCCCTGCTACCTACTTGCAAAAATAGCAGAGAAGAGCTACTACGTCCCCTCTCAGTTGCCTAGGAAGGTTGTGGAATCTCCATCTCTGGAGATATTTAAGAGCAGGTTAGATAGACATCTATCAGGGATGATCTAGATGGTATTGGGTCCTGGCATGAGGGCAGGGGACTGGACCTTTCGAGGTCCCTTCCAGTTCTAATGTTCTATGATTCATGTGTTTGAATATTTTTACAGTCCTGTCCCTCAAGGCTCCCCAGTAATATCTGCAACTCAAAAGGGGGAGGCAGGGCCACCAGGCAGTAACACCAAAATAACAAGATGATTGAGAAACTAGACTTGTATGGAAGGATTTATTCCACAGAAGGATTACACCTTCGTATTGCAAACCAGCAAGCTGTGCAGGGGCACTGGGATTTTACCTGATGGGATACAATTTTGAAGTGTAAGGATGAGCTTCCAGACAATATGAAACAAGAATTTTAGGTGCTGGTGGAGGAGAGCAAGTTGATTTCTAGAACAGTTCTTCAGGTTGGTCGTGATGCAACAGGCCCTGCTACTCACTGCCTGGCTTCCATCATCATCCATATGATGGTCTTCATGGATGCTATCCTCTGATCTCCTGCCAGAGCTTCAACAAACAATCCAGCACTTCCATTTGAGGGGTCATCGCTCTACTCGGAGTAACTCTGAAGTGCCTGAGGATTTATACTCAACAAAAAGGAAGGTCCTGTTCTGTTCTCAGACCCAGTAATTTCTGGGAGTTGTAGTTCAACCCAAGGTGTCATTGTAAAAGTCCACCCTTACCTTCTATGCTTGCTGCTGGTTTGTCAAGGCTTATTACATTCTCCTAGCACACATTTTGATGAGTTAGTCAAGAGCAAAGTACCAAGTCCAATAGGGCCATCTTTGCCTTCTCCAATGTTTTTGTAAGTTGCCTCTCCTGCTTCCTTCATGCTTGGGCCCATGTCACCATGGATCAGTGTGTTCTAAGTATGCTGGAAGTGGTGTGCACCCTTCAGTTTCTTTGTCCCTTCTTCTTATCCCCTTTCCTTCCCCATCCTTCTTCTGGGACCTCTTTCTCAAAGCAGTGTTGTTGTAAGAGAGACAGTTGCTTTTTCTTGTGGAGGGTCTAGAGGAGGTCCTTCTGTTGCTCTGAGGAAAGTGGTTTTACTCCTAAAACTTCCTGATCCTGAAAGGAAAGCGGAGATGGTCTCAGACCTATTTTAGATCGGAGAGAATTAAACCAATTCCTAAAGAGGTTGATATGCTGGATGGTGACTGTAGCTTCTGTTGTTTCTTCTCTTGAGCCAGGGATAAGTTTCCCTTGATGTAAAGGATGCTTACTATCAGTGGTTCCCAGTATGTGTTCACAGTGCTGGCTTGTGGTGTGTTGGATGACACCTATGTGTTTAGATAGCGTGACAGTGGTCTCAGCCTTCCTCCATTTCTCCCACTGTCTGTATGACTGGCTCGTAAAAGGGTGCTCCCAGTTATAAATGTTTTCCAATGTAGACATTGTCTGTCAAGACAAATAACGGACTGCTCCAATAGACATGGAATAGCTATTTCAGGATACTTCCGATGTCCCAAAATAGCTCCCCAGTTTCAAGAGCTGCCCCATCCCCAGCAGAATCCCATAGGATGGTTTCTGGCAGAGACCAGCCAATGCGAGCTGCTTGTTGGAGTAACAGGCAGCCAAGAAGAACCACACCCCCTTCCTTGACTCAGTAATTCATGAAGCACTTGGCCAGGCAAACAGGCTGGCTGGCTGGCTGGGAAACATTTTAAACTCTGTAGGCAGGCAAGCTAGTTTGGCAGCTGGCAGGTAAGTCTCTTGGCCACAGCCTGCTTCTGACACTCCAGCCCCAACTCTCTGGTCCCCCCCACCCCACCCCTCAACATACCCAAATCCTCTGTCCCCCTCTTATGCCCATACCCCCTCCAAGATCTGGCACCCCAATCTCCTGCCCCGATCACAATCCCCTTCAATCCTAGGTCACATCCCATACCCCTGTACTCCAGTCCCCTGCCCTAGGACACAACCCCCTCCTTCACCCAAACTCCCTCCCAGACTCCATTCTTCCTCCTGCACCCCAATCCCTTATCCCCAGCTCCCCTCTGCTCCTAGCTTCCATCCCAGACCCCAGACTCCTCTGTTAATATCATGGAAGAGTGCAGCCCTCTACCACTTTCCCAAATCTTGGAGTGACACCACCCTCCTCCCCAAATTATTGCCCACCCCGATCTAATGGAAGGATACTCTGTCTTTACACAGCGGCTAACCAAGGTTCCCTGTAAGCTGCATGGTAGCACAGACCTGCAGCTGCTTAATGAGCAGTAATAGTGGCCTTGTGAAAATTGTTGTACCCCAATTACTTTGTTTTTCTTGTTGATTCTATTCTTAAATGTTCTAAATTTCTGTAAAGTTCTGTAAGTGATTACAGCATAAGATACCTCTCAATGAGTATGAGTGGAGATAAACGTTCAGTTTCTTTGCTATGACTAAGTCATATTCTTGAAATCTTGTGGACTGCTGAAAATGTTGCTTTTCAGTAAGCTCCAGTGCCCAATGCCCATTTTTTGTTAGTATTATGCAGCAGAATAGGTGTGTTCCACATTTTATTCATGAAATGTACTTTACCGAATAGAAGAAATGACTTGATTTAATTTTCAAAGAACATGAGATACTGTTGTTCTGCTTTGAATTGAGCAAAGCTGGTGGGCATGAGCGCTGCTTAGCAAAACAAGGGGCCAGTTAAATGCCCCAATGATAGCGGAAACAATGGACTACACTGAATGCAGGTACGGGCAGAATTTGGCATGCAACCCAAGAGGTTTCCACGGGGGATCTGATTAACACAGGATGAGGGATTCATGACTAATTCACTCAGAGGGGTGTCCCCTTGGGGTTGCCACTCGGTGTGTTCCAGTCATGCCACTGAGCCTCTCTACCTGCTTTGTGGGGTGCCTCAACACCCTGTCCAACCGCGCCAGAAACTCTGGTCTCCCCCAACCAAGGCACAGAGTTGGAGAAACAGTCTCAGCGGAGCAATGCTGACAACGAATTAGCTCTGGGAGGGCTCAGCTATAATTCTGTTGACAGCAACCAGGAACACAACCTCCAAAAGGGACCAAAACCCCAAATGAACCTGTCTTCTCTGTATGAAACTTTTATATATAGAGTAACACTCATTAGGTTGACCCTCTTTATCAGTGAAAGAGAGAGATGCACAGTGGTTGCTCCCTCCAGGGAACAATTATTTACACTTGGCTTAATAATAAACAAGAGTTTTTATTATGTATAAAAAGTAGTATTTAAATGATTTAAAGTGAAAACAGACAGATCAAAGCAAATTATTAAGCCAAAATAAACAAACGCCAGCTAATTATAATACACAAGATAAATTATTTCAATGGAAATTCCTCACCCTTGTACTTATTCCAGGTAAAATCCTTCAAGACAAAGTTGATATTTTTCTCTGGCCTTGGTCAACAGTTTTTTAGAGTTCTTTAAACCTCCTTGTTTTCGGGTTTCCTCATGTGTATCCACTTAAAGTAAGGAGACAATTTCAAAAGCCAGCAGAAGACAATGGACTGCTTTGCAGTCCTTAAATAAACTTTCCCTAGAGTGGGAATACTTTATTTTATGTCCCCGTTCCCATGCAAAAATACCAGATTCAAGATGAATTCGAGCATCAGGTGGCATGGCCACATGTCTTTGTAGGACCAGCCACAGTTTGGACATACTGGAAAAACAGACCCATTTACAGATCATTGTCTTGACCACTTGGCCATTAAGTTTCCTTAAGTACTACTAATGGCTTTCACTAGAAGACTTAGATTAATAGTACACTTCATATTTCTAACTTAACATACAAGAATGAATACAGGCACAGAAATACAATATACACATTCATCAGATCATTACTTTAAAAATGATGTATTACATGGTATATTTTGCCTAAAGCGTCTTCAAGTTGTGCATATTCCTATTCATAAGCCAATTTTCATAAAGCATGAGGGGAACCCGTGATAGGATTGTTTTGATTGCAGCAGTGAGTCTGGAGGGGGGGATGGGGGTGAGAGAAGCAGCAAAACACCCACAGAGGCCGATAGAGAAGGAAGCCAAAACACAATGCAAGGATGTATGTGTTACATTACCCGGAGAAGAGCAAGAACTTTTGGGTAAAGCACTGGCTGAAAAAGGGTTGGGACTGGGCAAAGAAACTGTCTAATGTTGCTTGATTCTTACTGCGCGCAAGGAAACAGAATGTGGTGCATATTCTTTGGAAATATATAGGACTATATCAAACAAATATCTGGACTCCTACATCAATTTCTTCTCCTAATGGAAACAGCCATTACAACCTCAAAAATTGGCTAACTGCTTTTTCTACACACCATGCCTAATGAAGACACTCCTTTTTTCTAGATTGAGAGAGATAGAAGAAAGGTTAAATGAATTAAAGGCATCAACCATATCCAAAACACCTGCCTTAAAATTTAAGGTATGTATGGTAAAGGTGGATTTTTAACGAATGAATGTTTATTGCATTTGCTGTAAAGTTTTGCTTTCAATACACTCTATCCAAGCTTCTTTTCTGCTTGTACTGAGGTAATTTTTATAGATTATAATTTAGTAGTTGCATATCAGTATAAATATACATTCACATATTTTTGTTCTTTAAAGTGTATAATATATTTATATCTAAAATATATTCTGTATACGAGTTATATTACTATTATTTGTTTGTTTATACCATGTGTGGTGGTGAAATCCTTTTTGTCATGTACTTTTGACACTTACCTATACCCTGCCCACTAATCATTTTGCCCTGGGACTGCTTCTAACATACCAAACCTTTCAACAACTTCAAACCTGGCTGAATTTCCTCCAGTTATGGAATTTTCCCCCAGATTACACTGGCCTGCTGAGACACAGGACAAACAGTTTTTAATAATATGTTTAGACAGATATTTTATAAGGCAGTAGAGTCAATTACTGGATTTTTATGCTGTTGGAAAGAGGAGATTCCCAGCTTTCCAATTTGGCTGCACAAAACTTTCTAACTGCCTTATAGTGTCTTGAGATATTGTACCTTAGAAGTATGGCATTATATATAAAAGAAAATTAGCTCATTTTTCAGTGTTTTAAAAATTATAATTTTTTCTTCCTTCTGCTTTTGTCTCTGCTTTTGTACTCTTTGGCCTAGGTTTTCAAAGACATGTAGGCATTTTATTTAGGCTTAGCAGATTTAGGAGCCTCATTTTTTTTTCAAAGGGGATTTAGGTACATAGGAGACTAAAGCCCATCCACCGTTGCTTTAAGTTCCGGAATAAGTGAGGTTTGCAGTATTGGGCAGAGCAGTGTATAAACAGCTTTAAAAATCTGTGCTTAATAAAATGTCAATATCAGCTGATAGAAAAAAAGAAAAAAATACTTACCAGTAATTCAGTTGTCCTAACTCTCTTCTCTTCACCATCATTTTAAAAAAAACACACAAATTACATCATGCTATTATCTCTACCATGTTGGAAGCAAGAGGTAGACTGATACTCTTCACCTTTCAATTCTGTACAAAGACCCTTCATGCACCTATGTTTAGTCTGAAAGTTTTCAGAATAAGAGCCCTTAATGAAAGGTGCGAAGTGAGGGGAGGAGGAGAAGGAAAGAGGAGAGAAATATGACAAACCAAATTACTCTTGAGTAATTTTCCCTTGTCATACATCCTCTCTATTCCTCATCCTGCTCAATCTTCCATAGACTGTTAAATAGTCTATCAAAGCATTTTTATACCATTGCTTGTCACTAGTTTCAGAGTACCTTCATTCTGATGGAGATCAGTTTGAGGAGGAAAGGCTTACCTTTAAATATGAGAGCAAGATGCTTCTCCTAAAGCAAGTTTTCACAGGATGCTTCTACTGAAACTTCTTACAACTTCACAGTGGCATATAAGTCCAGATGGTTGTATGTGATTATCGTGGCAACAAGTAACAAATGTGTAGATATCATCCATCAAAGTCTTGGCTCTTTCTACTCAGACAGGGCATTCCTTTATTCTCTCGTTTATCCCTAAGTTATTGGACTTGATGTGGTAATGACTGAATGAAATACTTCGGCCTGTCCAAAGAAGATAGGCCGCACATCAGAGTAGATGATCATAATGGTCACATCTAGCCTTCATAGATGATTGAATGGGTCTGTATTACTTCATCGAAAATAAATGGCCACAACGACTTTATTGCCCTCTGTAGGACCTGAAAAACAGAGTGCCTAAGATCAGGGAAAGTCAGTAGTCCTACTTGAGAGACGTAGAGGCTTCCATGACCTTGAGCAAATAGATCCGATTCTCTGTCAAGACAAATTCAAGAAGAACTTCAGAAGCTACACTGACTAGTGATTAATGTAAAAGGAAGCAGTGCATATAATGGCTCCTTTTGGGAGGAAAAACCTGAAGATTTGAAGGGTCTTTGGTTAGTGCCACTAACTCATCATCCTGGCCGTGGTTATGTTCACCAAAGTAGGGTCTTTGAAGTTAAGAACTTTAGACTTTTTCCCTGCAGGTAGCCCTAATGAGGGATTCACAGAAACACTCAGGGCTAGGAGTAGTAGGTCTTACTGAGGGACCAGAAGTTGAATACCAGAACTCTACTAGTATCTCACCACACACATAAAGTTTAAGGATGCAGTCTCGTTTTGGCCTTGTCTGTGGAACAACAGGTATGGAAAAGGAAGAGGAGGCTAAGGAAGACCTCTCTGTTTCTTATCTGAAGAATGTTAACAGTGCTGGGAAGGGTATGGTGCTAGCCACCCTATGGCATTGGAGCATGTCAGTGGTCATTTTTGCTTCAGTGGTCAAAGATAACAGCATGATAGACTGATTTTTTCCTTTAAGAAGTGAAAGAGAGGAGGGGCATACCACGATTACTTCCTGATCCCAAACTGCTGATTAGTTAAACTCTGTTTTTGTTAACACCATTACCCAAGCTATTTCAAAATTCCATGGCACTTTTCACAGACATTGTTATGGTCAGTTAACCGTGGCTGCCTGAGCTAATTTCAAGATACTAAAACTCAACTTCTCTGTAGCAGCAGCATCTCTCCAAAGATGATAATGGTATGGAAAAGACACCGATAAATTGCTAGTGCAAGTGAAATGCAGCCATATCTGAAAAGACTGCATTTGCTTCAGACTTCTTGTAGCAACACTCTGCCGCAATTCAGAACAGAACTGCCTAGTTAGTTGCCTATGTAGTACTAATCTGCTAGCTTTGGCCCGTCATTTCTTGTCCTCCATAGTTGCATGGTGTTTCTGATGCCGTTGAAGGACAATGAGGCTACACTCTAGAGCTAGCTGCAGTTTCGTGCTCAACTGAAATTTTCCTCAGTAAAGTTCTTTGTGATCCTTCTGGATGAAAGGAAATAGATAAACATAAGATGCAGTTCTGGTTACCCTCCCATTTTAACTTCACCTATAAATATGCCCGTCTGTCCCCTATACTTGCACACATTCTGTTATTGAAAATGTATTATTGTCACACCTTCATTTTCTCCTTCAGCTGCTCTTCTAGTCTGGAAGAATTACACAAAGTCTTGAGTGTTTTTGTGGCGATTTGGGTTTTGTTGCTAAAGTAGCTTAGCTCTGCTTCTTGTGTATCACACTTCCCCAGTAATTTTGTTTGTCTTCTGAATCACAGCTGATGTTATAATCGATCTTTGGAGCACAACATTAAAAATAGGCATTGCTTTTCTGTTAAACTATGCCATTGAAAACTGGCTGCTGTATTTCACATAAATAGGTAATATCCCCACTGCTGCTTCAACCTCTGGCCTAACAAAATTAATTCTACCATGTTTTTAAAGACTGTGGCCTCCTGACCTTAATAAATCATCATATGGTAACTTTCCAAATAAATTACATGCTTGATCATGAAAAGCTCTTTTTTTGATTCTGTGGAGATTCACTTTGGGGTATTAATCATAACCATTACATGGGATGCTATCTACAATTGATTGTGTCTTCAGTCTATACATATAACCTAGCTGAAACACCATGTCAAAAAGACTTCTTCCTGTAGAAGACTATATAGTAAAGAACACTGATCCAAGAAGGAAGCTCCTGCCCACCTGGACAGTGATGAATTATTAATGGGCTTGAAGGAACAGGAAAAGCTTTCCTGTGTCTTGTAACCACTGGATCCATTTACCTTTTGAAATCCTTGTCTAGTCTGCGTTTCATCTATACTAAGTTTCCTGAAAACTCCTTTAAGTATCAGCTATCCAGTATCCCATGAGTTACAGCAGCTTTCATGAGTCCTTTTTCTGGACAGGAAACAGGAATTGCACAGACCCTGAATGTAGGTGCGGCAGATTGGCAGGGTTGAAGCTTACTTATATGATTAAAGGATTATGGAATTATATCTTCCTGTATTTCATGATCACTGCATTTTTATTGTTGCTGTTGAAGATGAAGTGAAGCCGTCATCCAATTAAGAAATACAGGATTTTATGAAAAACACTTAAGAGCTGTTCTGTAATTGACTGGAGCAGTAATGTTTTGTGGTTTGCAAGACAGCTGGCATTGTTGTAGAAATAAAGTCCTTGTATTAAATGGCATTTGAAAAGAACATTCTTGTTGAAGAAAAAACCTTGTTCAGAAGTGTTACCAAAGCCAATTTAGAGGAGGAAGAATTTTTTAAACATTGCTGGAGTCTGGTGAATGAAATGGACCATTATTTGCCATGTCTCGCTCCATGTGATGCCTTAGCATATAACAATTACTCCAAGAATCCAAGCGTTCAGCATATTCACTTAATAAAAATGCAGCCATTTCTTTTGTCCACTCAGTGGTATTGCCCTCATAATGATTCTGTTGTAATGCGCTGCCAGCTTATCGGGAAAGTTACAGTGAAGTTCTGATAAATGAATTTTTCTAATAAGAAAATATACTAAAGGTTGAAAAGTAATTTTGACTTGTGAAAATATATTTGACTACAGAGTTTTACATTTGATGTTTCTAGGGGACTGGATGTCTGAGGATTGGTAAAGGGATACGAAGCCATTCACCTCTAGGTCACTGTTGAATCCCGGCCCAGGTTGGTAGTGACCAAAAGTCGTTACCACTGATGCATGTTCAGTGACCTGTGTCAGACAAGTTAGCAGTCTCAGCCCAGTTTTCAGGGGACAGGTTTGCAAGTTTAAATTACTAGTGGAGACTGAACTAACCTCTCAATGTCAGAGGCAGTCCCTCCAAAACAAGATCGTAGTAGATTGGGTCCATATGAGGGGAGCTTGGAAAACTACTGTCTCTATTCTGTACGTAACGATTCCCAGTCTTTGTCATACTGGCACCTTTTCATGAGAACCAAAACATTCACTCAACCTAAGATGTTTTTAAGAGATTTTGCATAACACTGGTGGGGTGTGGGGGTGTGTGTGTGTATGTGCGTGTGAATACAACAAACGTAATGTAGATAGCTTTTGATTTTCAATATAACTTGCTTTTCTGCTTCCTTGATGGTCTGTGTACCAGAAACAGACATAGAGCACTTAAAGTGAAGTTAAGTAGTTGTGGTAAAGCTTCCTGCAATTTCATGAGAAATCAGACTTCAGCATTACAACCTTTATAACTTTTCTTTAATATCTTCCAAAATCAGCTCCCTCATTCCACCCCTGTAACACTTATATGCCTCTTTCAGCTGCAGTATCATACTGAACTGAGAGAGTATGCAGTTCCCCAAATTTGTCTTGCATTGTGCAGTAACATGTAAATTTTTTATGTTTAAGGGAGATGGAAAGTTTGCCTGTATTGTATTGTAGACTGTCACTTTTACTACTACTACTTCATAACATGTTTCTGAAGTCCCTCGGTTGAGACATTGAGAGTTAAACCAAACCTCACTCTGCATTAGAAAGCTGCATTTACTCCATCTATTAATATAAAATGAAATGTCTCCTTAGGTTGAGAATTTCTTCTGTATGGGATCTCCATTAGCAGTGTTTTTGGCATTGCGTGGCATCCGTCCAGGAAACAGTGGAAGTCAGGATCACATTCTGCCCAGAACTATTTGTAACCGGTTGCTAAACATTTTTCATCCAACAGATCCAGTGGTGAGTTTTTATTGCAGTTACAAGCTTTTACCTCAAGACTCTTTTTAAATAAAGTTTACTGAAGGACAATAAACAACAATATGTAAGACGCGATCTTCAGAGTACTTACATCAACATAGGTATGTTTCTGCATGCAACATGGTTTTGCAGAACAGCTTTCTGCCAGTCGTCTTCCAATATCTTGAGGCTTTTTTCATTCCAAAATAAATTAATACTAGAAAATGCAATAATGTCTTATGCAGTACTTATCCTTCTTTTGGAAATAGTTTACTCAGTAACAGAATGATATTTTATGCATAATTTGAACACCACTAACTCACTAGTCAGTAATGCTTAGTCTTAGTAGGATTCGATTTCAGTGAAATTGACAAAAAAAAAAGTTTGTCAATAACCTTCAGCATATCTACAAGGATCGAGTGTCTCTGGCCTTGCATCCCCCCTTGCACCTTGTTCCCTTTGACTATGCAGCGAGCCCTCTGCAGCCCAGCTGTCAGTACTACGAACCCACTACAGCCCTGGTATCAGTGCTACCCTAATCCCATTCCTTTCCTCCCATTTAATTTCTAGCAACTGTACAAATAAAAAGGGTTAAAATCCAAAAACATCTTAATCAAAATATATTTTAATTGTCAAAAGTAGAAAAAATGGAATACAGCCAAGCCTACTAATGATAGAATGTTACATTCCCAGAGAAGCTGTGCTTTCCAGTTAAAAACTCTGGTACTTCTGTGATAAAACTTGTCTTTGTCTCATTAGTGTGTTGCTAGCAGTTTTTGTTGTTTTTAATTTTCTCTGGTGCTAAATAATATCTCGCTGCAATGGAGCTGCACTGATGTATATCCTCTAAGGACCTGAGCCCACATCTCTAATTTACTAGATAGTAAAATGTCCAGTGGAATTTGTGCTGTCAAAAAAAAGTTCAATCAGTTTGTAATTGACCCTCTTATAAGTTGTAACATTTTTTACCTCGAATGAGAAGGTGCAAAACCTTGAAAGTAGGAATAAGGGATCTTCCGGAAAAGGGCTTATTTTCTGGAAAATTGCATCTACACTGGCGCTTTTCTCCGGCAAAAACCCCGAGCCGGAAAAAAGCGGCAGCCGTGTAAATGCAAATGCTGCGGGGGATATTTAAATCCCCCGCGGATTTGCAATTCCGAAGTGTCTCATTAGCGTCCCTTTTCCGGAAAGGGATGCCAATGTAGACACAGAGTGTTATTACTATGAAAATTCCACTGCCATGCAACAGTACAATTTCAGTTGAGGAGAAAAGGTGGATGAGGTAGCATCTTTTATTGGACCAACTTGTGTGAGTGAGCAAGACAAGCTTTCAAGCTACACAGAGCTCTTCTTCAGGTCTGGGAAAGGTCAACAGCTGGACAGAATGGAACAGAAAGTTTAGCATAAATCGTTAACCCATATTTTAAGGCACCATTCAAAGTGAAATGGCCTGGTAACACCACTGTAACTGTAGGACAATAGAGTGTCCTGCTGGAGTGGTAGAACACATGTAATAGGCCACTCAAATACCCGAGAACCTGCTTCAATACAGAAATAAAACCCCTTTCTACTGCGCAACCCTGGTTGTCACCATTACCCACACTGGCATCCTCCAACTACAATCCAGACTCAATGGTGACCCCATCCTGAATGAAATCTTTCCTGGGCTCATTTTTCTGGCCTTAAGCAACCTCCCTTCCTCCACTCAATCTCTAAGCTCCTCCCCACAGACCAAGACACAATAATGCAAAGCAGCACCAGATCCTGCCAGATCAGATGCAAAACTTGCAGCTCTCTAAAACCCCACAACATGACTTTGAGATCAAGGAGTCCTGCACATGCCTGTCACAACTTGTAGGGTACCTCATTGTCACAGAGTCCACTCCTCCTGGCTCTCTGGCCATCAGCTCCTTCCAGGTGCTGTGCTCTCTTCTGGCTGTCTCTCCACACATACAGCTCCAAATGCTGCTCCTTCATAACATGATTCTCCAGCCAAGTCACTTATACGTGCTTCCCTTTCCGGGGTACCGCAGTCTTTCTTCAGCAATCCTACCACTGACCACTAGTGCCACTTCCTCAGTATCTATCGGGGAACCCAGGCCTGCCGTTTCCTCTGGCTTCCAGCTCAAGGACCCTCTAGCCAGCAGCCAAAGTCTGTTCTCTCTTGGACTTTCCTGCTGCTCCCTGACCCCTCTCCATACCATCTGGCACATCCCTCTCTCTGCGTTCGCCAGCCTCCCTCCGGCCAGGGATTAACTATGGGTTACCTGTCCCTGCAGCCTCCAAACACTCCACCCTTCTCCATGGGAAAGACCACAGCCTCTTCCAGCAACCCCTTTCTGCTAGCAGCTCCCTGGCTTTATAGAAGCTCCACCTGTTTCCACACGTGAATTTCCCCTACTTGGGACTTTCTCCTCATCCTTAATTTTCCTAGCTTCTTGCTACTCTCTCAAATGAACCACCACAGGAAAATGGGAAAAGACAAAAAAAACCTGTGGGTGAATGCTTTTCAAAGAATATAATCACTCTGGCTCTGACCTCTGTCCTCATTCTCAAAAGAAATCCACACAGCACTTGCAAAAGATGTGCTTGGAGTTCGGTGGTGAGGTACAAGGAGATGCCAGAAAAGTGGTAAAACTTACTGTCACCTGTACTGTCCAGAAATGGCTTCTGTTGAAAATACATGTAATCAGACTTCTATCTTGCTCATCAGACTTTCAAAGCTTGCTACTTAAATGGTATCTACAATTTCCGCATTTGCACAGTACGGAGGTTTATTCAGATTGGATGAGCAAAATTAAGTAGCCAGTTTTAATGGATTGATGTGAAACGCAGAATGAGTTTATCCATATGGAAAGGATAAGTCTTTCCTGTATGGGAATGACTTATTATTAACCTTTTCACTTCTGAAGGAATATAGTACTAACAGTGCTGCAGAGGAATGTACTGGGATATGTTCATAAGCAACGAGGCAACTAGTCAGTTTTCCAGGAAAGTGAAAATATATCTATTCTACTGGCTATCTTCAGCATTAGTCAGTTTCTGGCTGTTGATTTGCTGTGACTTTCAGATTAACAAGATTTCTTTTCTTAACAGTGTGACAGGAATTGGGAGCAAGGAACTCCTCCTGAGTTCTAATTCAGACTGTCCCACTCACTTTATTGCCTCGGGCAAGTTACTTTAATTTCTGTGTGCACCTCTTCTGTGAAATGAGGTTGCTGCGGTTGATCCATTCATCCATAGGGGACTTATGAGGAGTCGTTGTTAGTGCTTGCTCAGTACTTTGAGGATGAAGAGCACTAGATATTGGTAAGTCTAGTTTTCAGTGTCTCACTGCTCAGGACTTTCCTGAATTTATCTTGCAGGCCTACAGACTAGAACCTTTAATTTTGAAGCACTACAGCAACATTTCCCCTGTCCAGATCCACTGGTACAACACTGCAAACCCTCTACCTTATGAGCACATGAAGCCAAGCTTTCTCAACCCTACAAAAGAACCTACCTCAGTCACCGAGAATGAAACCATCCCAACCATACCAAGCCCAGCTACTTCTCCGGTCATGGTTCGACGCCATTATGGGGAGTCGATAACAAATATAGGCAAAGCCAGTATATTAGGTAACTGCTCATTCTTTTCATATGTATGTAACTTTTTGCAATTAGGCTTCATGCAATAACATGTTGATTGTCTGTAGAGCCTTATTTTCATACAAAGCTTCATTTTTTCCTTTGTGATATTGAAGGGGTAACAATAAATATTCGGTAGTGATCTTTCACCAGTTCTTCAACGGCACATGTGCCGTGAACTTAACACAAATAAACTTTTATTTAAGGCAATGGGACAAATATATACATTACAGCCATAGCCAAACCAGAGGCACCCGTGGCCCTAGCAAGGGACTGTCGTGACCGGGAGAGAGGCACCTTCTCAAAGATCACCCCCCCTATTGTCCCAGCAACATGGACCAGCCATAACTGTGGGAGAGGTGCTCCTCTCCCCAGCCCAAGCCAGCCTCACCGGAGCGGTTTCTCACCTAGCCCAGAGCTGCTGCAGTGTAAGGACAGGAGGAAGCCCCCCTCTCCTGGGTGAGCCTGTACCCCAAATCCCTCAGCCCCACCCCAGAACCTGCACCTTAGCCAGAGCCCTCATTCCCTCACCCCAAGTATGAGCCCCTCTCACACTCCAAACCCCTCGGCCCCACCCCCACCACAGATAGTCCATGTGCAGAATGAGATGTGCACCAGCGCAGAGATGAGATTTTGCCCATCCTATTGATGCACATAACTAAATTTATTCCGCACATAGACAGAAATTAGAGGGAACACAGTTGGTGAGTGGCAGTAAGGTCCTTAGTAATGAGAAATGTTCAGATTCCATTCAACGTCATATAACGTATCTTTCCATATTGAAAACTCTAACCTCAATCTTTTCCTGTCCCTTTGTTGTTTAGCATCCATAATCCAGCTTATGCACTGGCTTCACTTTAAACATATGAGCAAACTCTTTTTCTTTTGATGGGCTATTCATGTGCTTAAACTTAAGTATGTGCTAAAGTGTTTTGCTCAGTGTGGGCCTATGCTGTTTGGGTTTATTCTAAAATAACTTGAAAGAAGTTTAAACAGAGTAGCTTGCTATAGAGTTTCTTCCCCTTCTGAGCAAGTAAAATCTTTATTTCCTATCTTCCTCAAGAATTTGTCTGATTTATATAATGTTTCTAAGGAAGATCTGACACATCTCACTGTGGGGAGGTCTACACCACAGGACACTGTTGACCTAAGACACACAACTCCACTACATGAATACATAGGTGGTGTCGACATACCTTAGGTCGTGTTTCCAAGGAGGTGTGAATGAGAGAAACTCTCTCATCGACTCCCCTTATGCTTCTCTTTCTGGTGGAGTACCAGAGTCGATGAGAGTATGATTAGCGGTCAATTTAGTGGATCTTTACTAGACCCGCTAAAACAACTTGGGGGAATCAATCACTGCAGCTCCCTTCTGCCAGAAAGTGTAGACCTGTTCTGCATAGCTTTTTTTCTCCCCATGTTAAGTATTTAAGTTTGTTTTACTCTGAAAGGAGCTTTTTAACATAGCCACAAGATGGCAGCAAAGTCAGGAGAAGTATCTCTAGAAATGGTACAAGCAAGAAATTGAAGAAAGACGTGTCACAATGTGATTCTTCTTTCAGACAAAAAGATACTATATTGTAAAGTACCGAAGATCAGTGTGTGGCAATACGAATGAGATCTTAAAAGAATGTGTCTGCAGAACAGGAACTAAAATAGACCTTTTCAGCACTGTATTTCTTTTGTTTTGGTTTCCCTAACTACAGTTTTTTAATTATCTTGTTGTATGCTAGAGTTGAGTCTCATGCTGCAAAATATCCACTTAATTTAAATAGGCTGTTGTTCCCACCCTGGAAAAACAGGAATCGTGTTTTTCTTTCTCCATCATTCAGCTGTAATTAATGGTTGTCACAGTCACTTCAATTTGTGGTATTTAACACTAACGGTGCCTGTCCTGTTTTGTACTGAATACAGGAGCTGCTAGTATTGGGAAGGGCCTTGGAGGGATGTTGTTCTCAAGATTTGGACGATCTAGTGCACCCACATCACAAACATCTGAGTCTGGAAAAGAGGGATCAGAAGGCGAAGAAAAGAAGCCAGTTGTCTGCCAGTCAGCTGTTGGAACTCCGACCTTCCCACATAGCAGCTCTGGCTTCCTTGACCCTACACGTTAGTGCACCTTTAAATTCAGTAACTAGCTTTAACTTCCTCCTTCTCTCTTAGAAATGGAGGCTCTTTTTAAAGTTGACTTTGGATACATGTAAAGTGGGGTGGATGGACATGGAAATGTTTGTGCTATAATAACAAACATATATATGCTCCTGTTTCCTGGGCAGCTTTAAGGTATTAAAAGTGGAGTTCATTCCCATTCATTAAATATTTTTCAGCTATTTCTAGAGTTAAATTTTTTAGCTCTGTTGTTTTGTTTTTTTTAATTTATTTAGCACTTAGTGGTATATTTTGTAATCCAGTGATCTCTAAAATATAATTGTAAAAAATCAACATCAAAGCAGAGTAGTCTAATTTACTCTTTACAGTAGGATACATCTCCAGTATGTGTCCAGCACTGAGACACATTTTTGGTGATGTACAAAATACAGAGAAAAATAGTCCTTGCGCCCAATAGAGCTGGTCCAAATACAGGACAAAATTTTAATAAAAGTTTGCATAAAAATGAGAGCACTTCCAGTGACAAAAGTCAAAACATTGATAAAATTAATTTCAAAGCTTTTCAGTCACTGTGTTTTCAAGGCATCAAAAATCTGATTTATTCGAATGTGAACTTCTAACAACTTTTCAGTGACTTATTTCATCTTCTTTGACTTCACACTCTGAGGTGTTTGCCCTAGATTAATATGCACAACATTGTCCTGTCCAATCAAGTTCAAAGAGATGACTTTAAATAATTGTAGGAAGTCCAACCTCTGGATATGCAGTCAGTTGCCTCGCTCTGACAATTTTAATGTTGGAATTGAGTTTTGTTTTTTCCTTATGTGAAAAAAGTGTGTGTTATGGTCAACATGGCCTTGGTTTGGGCCCATGCATCTTAAATTATCTCAGTGATAATGGTTGAGTCATGAGTATAAGCCGTGCTGCATCTTGTGATAGTGTCACGGGGTACATCACAGCTTCCTGATCAGAGCTAATTTCGACAGAAATCTGAGTGACTCTTCCTTCATATAGGGCAGAGGTGCAGTTTTAAACTTACAGAAGATATGGAGGAGTAACAGTGATTTTGGTTCAGTCTTCGTGGGGGGTCCTTTTGAGGAAACTCAGCAATTTAAACCTCACCACCCAAACCCCACATCTGCCTGTTGTTTACCATAGATGGAGAATCCCACAGCATATCCCAGCAGAGCTGCAAAAAGGGTGACTAAGTCCTTACTGAAGTGTTCCTTCTAAAAGACCTGCTGCTAGGGGTGTGAGTGTTGAACTGGTTGGCGCTGAAGCAGCTATCCTCCTGCCTAGGGTTGGGGGCTGCTCGTGGCAGACAGAAGCTGCTCCAGCATCCTGGTCGGAGTGCGTGTGCATGCTCGCGTATGCCACAATTAATTACAAAACAAAGATACACTCTAAACCAGGTGTGGGGGACTTCAGGCCCAGGGGCCAGATGCAGCCCTCGGCTTGACTGGATCCGGCCCCCATGTCTCAAGGTCCATCCCCCCCAGCATTGGGGGGAACCCACACTAGTGCTCCAGCCCCCTGCCACCACCCGGGGTTGGAGCACACAAAGTCTTTTAGGCTGGGCTCCCCTACACTCTGGTGTGCAAGGGGGATATGGGGAGTATCTTTCTCTCTCTGCCACGGCCACAGTGAGGGTATTTTTTCCACTTCTCACTTGTGTGGAGCCCCCGACTGATTTGGGGGGGGGAGAGCAGTGGCCCCTGTCCCAAAAAAGGTTCCCCACCCTGCTCTAAACCCTTAGTTTGTACATTCTATCTACAGGAAAGTAGAACCAAAACCCAACAATGATAGAAGAATTAACGTGGGGGGAGGGATTCTTTTGACACAGTATTGGATCTAGTAACACTGCCTGTTTTGTTCTGTTTCGTTTTGTTTCTAGTGGAACTGGAGCACAGGATTGATTTTGAGCTCAGGGAAGGTCTTGTGGAGAGCCGATACTGGTCTGCGGTAACATCGCACACTGCATATTGGTCATCCATGGATGTCGCTCTCTTTCTTCTAACCTTCATGTATAAACAGGACCAAGAAGATGCTGACAAATCAAATTTAGACCCTGTTTGAATGTTGGGGTGGTTTTTTTTATTATTTTGAGGGGGGTGGGAATTTTACAACAAATGGCACAAAACTGCTATTTTACTGTTAAAACGTAGTCTCTAAGGCATGGAAGCTTCAGGTTTAAGAGCATGTTTGGATTTTTCCCTGCTTCTAAACAACAAAAATTGATTTGTAATTAAAAGCACTTTAGTTTTAAACATTTGCCGTGCTAATTAGACCTTAAAATAAATTTTAAGTCTCATGATTTTGATTTAATAAACAACCGAAACAATGTGTAGCATCATATAAGCACTGTTGGCATAATGTGCTTTGGTGATATATGTGCTAATGACCATAATTGCTGTTTAGTTCATTAAAATATAAACATTAGTCAACTAAGACTAAACTAACTTTCATTAACAAAACACATGCCAGATGCAAACCTAAAACTGCCATGTTCCTATGTTTTATGTACCAGTAAATAATAAATGTTGGTGTCATTTTTCTAGGACTTTATTCAAATCTACAGTATTACCCACAGTTCCATTGAAAGACCATTCTTACTACTGACTTCAAGGGTGTACTACACATAACTTGTTTAGCAACTGCTGAAAAAGCATGAAACAAATATTTGAAATACTGTAATTATAATTTATTATTACCTCTAACTAATTGTTTCATTTATTCCAGTGTACAAAACATTACTTTTTTACTGGTTTCTTTTAATTTAAGAACCACATTTATTTTCTACAGTGTTAAGACTTTTTCTCAGATATGCATATCTTTGTACTATTCAAATGAATATATGGATACTGTGGCACACTTTAGGTATTTTTTTCATGAAAAATAAATTTGTGGTTTCACACAAATGACACTAGTTACATTCTTCTCCAAAGGTAAGTAATCTCTTTCATAAGTCCCTGCGTATAGACTTAATTTGCAGTAGCCCATTGTATTACATTTACTGCTACTGAAACCGTGCTCTAATGTATTAAGAAAAAAGAATGCAACTTAAGACAAATTTGGTGAGCTCAAAAGCTTTGCCTAATTGATATCAGAAGCAGACCGAGTGATACCTTTTATTAAAAGCCAAACGAAAGAGTTCTGCAAGTGTTTCATTTTATGAAACTCAGACCCCCAACATGTGATTTCAGTAAAGATTGCAATTGTAGTTGGATCCAATTTCCAAGGAGCTAGGAGAAGACTTTCATGATGAAAGAAAATTTTCAAATGAATCACTCAGTCAATTCTGGGACCATAAACTAGCATTTTAAGGCTTTGGGGCAGTAGTATTAAATATATAGCATGTGTACGGATTATGTGTTTCTGACCTGCATAACGTATTTAGAAAATGCAAGTTATAAGCTTTCATTTTTTATTTAAAAAAAAAGTTTGTGGTGGTTGTGAACAGACACAAAACCCAGTGTAAAAAGATGCAGTTAATGTTGTCTTGAACCTGGAGACAGCCTGAAGTACTAGGTATGTATATCTTGACCTTTGTAAGGCTTTTGATACTGTCTTACATGACCTCCTCATAAACAAACTAGGGAAATGCAAGCTAGAAGGATCCTACTATAAGATGGGTGCTTGACTGCTTGGCAAACCATGCTCAGAGAGTAGTAACCATTGATTCACAATCAAGCTGCAAGGACATACCAACTGGGGTCCTGCAGGGATCAGCTCTGGGTCCAGTTCTGTTCAATGTCGTCTTCAGTGATTTAGGTAATGGCATAGAGAGTGCGCTGATAAAAGCTGGGAGCATTTGCAAGTGCTTTGGAAGATAGGATTAAAATTCAAAATGATCTGGACAAACTGGAGAAATGGTCTGAAATAAATAAGATGAAATTAAATAAGGACACATTCAAGCAGTTCCTTCCTAAATGGAGCAATCAGTTGCACACATGCAAAATGGGAAATGACAGCCTAGGAAGGAATACTGAGGAAAGGGAACTAAGGGTCATAGTGGACTACAAGCTGAAAATGAGTCAGCAATATATGTGTTGCAGAAAAACAAAACACCATTCTGGGTTGTATTAGCAGGAGTGTGGTAAGCAAGACACAAGAAGTAATTCTTCTGCTCTATCCTGCACTGATTACACTTCAGCTTGAGTATTTTGTCCAATTCTGGACACCACATTTCAGGAAAGATTGAATACATTAGAGGTAGTGCAGAGAAGAGCCACACAGATTATTAAAGCTCTAGAAAACATGACCTATGAGGCAAGATTTGAAGAAAATAAGGTTTATTTTATCTCGTGAAGAGAAGCCCTAAGAGGGGGGACAAAATTTAAGTTAATAAAAGGTTGATTCAGGGAAGAGAGAGACATTTTTCTTCTTAACCTCTGTGGATAGGGCAAGAAGCAATGGACTTAAATTGCAGTCAGGGCAGTTTAGATTGGATATCAAGAAAAACTTCCTAACTCTCAGGATGCTTAAGCACTGGATTAAATTGCCTAACGAGGTTGTGGAATCTCCTTCATTGGACATTTTTAGAAACAGGCTAGACAAATACCTGTCAGGAAGGGTCTAAAAAATATTGAGTCCTGTCATGAGTGCAAGGGACTGGATTTGAATCCTTTCCAGTCCTACAATTCTATGAAACAATGTGAGTTGTGCCAACTGTGTCCCATCCTTCTCTTTAATCTGTCTTGGGTATTAATTCTGAAGACACTTTGGTGTGAGCATTAAATGTTCCATTGCTAATTTATTGGTGGAATTGGGAATGGAAGCCCACAGACTGGAATTAGGAATTTGGAAATAGCTACAGAGAAGATGGTGAGAAGAGTCGCACAGACCGTAATTAAAAATAGAACTGGCTGGGATAATTTAGTTGGGCTTGGTCCTGCTTTGGGCTGGGGGCTGGACTCGACCTCCTGAGGTCTCTTCCAGCCCTAGGATTCTATACCTAGGCCCCCATGGACCAATGTCTTTGGCACCAGCTAGGCTCTTTGTGAGCCTTCTCAGTGTCCATGTGCTTTTGATCAGATATTTGACAGCAGGGCCTGTTCAGCCCAGACATACATTCCAGCCATCCTCATGCCCCACATTGAGGATCTATAGAGTAGTGCAGGCAAACCACCCTCAGTTCCTTCTCCGATGCCTTAGCCTGAATTGCCTAGCATGCCTGCTTCCTTCTTAACCTTTAGCTTAGCCTTAGGCCTTTCTAGTATTCATGTCATTATTTCATTTTTCCTATTTTGTGTATAGTTTTATAGTTCCTTAACTTTATTTGATGTTGTTTTCTTCTGTTAATTTTTTCCCTTTCTGCTGTCTGGGGTTGTCCTTGGGGATCATTGGCATCATTGCTGCCGTATGCTAGGGTTTCTGGGATTGAAGTACTTTTTCATCTCCTGGGAATCTCTCCTGGTCACTCAGGTACATTCCTGGTCCTTTGGTGTCTGGGTGAGAAACATTCTAGCTTAAATACAACATCTGATCACCTTTTAAGAGTAGAGCTAGAGGGGGAAAGAGATTAGGTTTCATCTCTTTACGATGCAGCGCTGGCTTTGCCCTGCCTTGGATCCGGGCTAAGATATGCCCCCTCTACATCAGCCTCTGAGAGAGCTCTATACTCCATTTGCCCAGATCTTTGCAGGATGAGTTGGAAGGCAGCCATTAACATTCTACGAAGAATGTTAGTTCTCATAAAAAGCTTACTTCAAAGCCATCTGTTTTCTAAGAAACTAACCAAATTGAAGATCTCATATCCTGTACAAGACTCCAGACGTATCCAGTATGGAGGCGCTCTTCTAAAACGTCAAAGTCAATACCATGGAAGCAAAGCCAAACCCGAAAGAGACTTTTAACACTGCATCAATAAATATAGCAATCTGGGCAGATTTCCCTACCTCCAGTACTCAAACAGGTGTTGCAGACTACTTTGGTACATCTGAAACAATCAACAACCATGGTACCGATAATATCCACTAGGTGGAGCCATTGAGGCAAGCAGCATCCTCAATAACATCTTAGACAATCTCAATGCAAATCCACCTAGATACCTCAGGGATTTAGATTTTTTTTTGTTACTTGTTTGTCTCAGATGAGTCAGTCGCCTTTGCTAAAGGGAGCAAAGCGGCCCTTGGTTCTAAGGTCTTGTGGGTCACTAAGAATGGATTTTTTTCCTTGGTACCATCTACTTTATATTCTGACCCAGGATGATAGCTACTTTTGCTCCCATTCTGTGTGATCCTTCTCTTGGGTCTTGGAATCATTGTGGATAGTTCTCTGAGAACATCAACTCAATGTGCAGGGTCAGTCAAAACAGAATGTTGGAACTCATTAAGAAAAGGATAGATAGGACAGAGACTATTATACTGCTTCAGTATAAATCTGATGCACCCACATCTTGAATACTGCATGCAGATCTGGTCACCACAAGTCAAAAAGATGCATTCAAATTGGAAAAGGTACAGAGAAGAACAAAAATGATTAGTAGTCCTGTGGCACCTTAGAGACTAACAAATATATAAGATCATGAGCTTTCGTGAGTAGAACCCACTTCATGACATGAGTTGGAGTGGAAAGAGCAGAAACCAAGATACATATAACATAAAAGAATTACCTGTCAATTGTAAGATCAGTGTTAATGAGGGTAACTAAGTGGGCTGGATGGGATGTATCCCATTCATAGCTTTTGATGTGAAAATGTGGGTGTTAAAAGCAGGGGAAATTGGCTTTGTAACACATTAACCAGTTAATGCCTTTATTCAAGCCCAGGTTAACAGTACTGAATTTTTAGATGAAATTCTGGCTCTGCAGTCTCTCTAGGAATGGTAACGCACAAACTTTAGGGGAACATTTTAACCTGTCCAGTCACTCAATCATGGATTTAAAGTTAGCCATTCTTCTACAAAAGAATTTCACCTCTCAGGATATGTCTAGATTGCATCCCTCTGTCAGCGGAGGGATGCAGATTAGGCAGGTCGACATTGCAAATGAGGCAGGGATTTAAATATCCCGTGCCTAATTTGCATAAAAATGGCCACCGTGTTTTGCTGACTTGGCACTTTGTCGGCAAAAAGCAGCAGTCTAGAGGGGGATCTGTCGAGAAAGAAAGCCTTTTTCGACAGATCCCTTATGCCTCCTTGCATAAGGGATCTGTCGAAAAAGGCTTGCTTTCTTTCTCAACAGATTCCCCTCTAGACTGCTGCTTTTTGCCGACAAAGTGCCAAGTCAGCAAAACGCGGTGGCCATTTTTATGCAAATTAGGCACGGGATATTTAAATCCCTGCCTCATTTGCAATGTCGACCTGCCTAATCTGCATCCCTCCGCTGACAGAGGGATGCAATCTAGACATATCCTGAGAGGTGAAATTCTTTTGTAGAAGAATGGCTAACTTTAAATCCATGATTGAGTGACTGGACAGGTTAAAATGTTCCCCTAAAGTTTGTGCGTTACCATTCCTGATGTGTGATTTGTGTCTATCCTTTGCACAGAGACTGCCCAGTTTGGCCATGGCTGGCACTTGATGGCATATATCACATTAGAGGATGTGCAGTTGTATGAGCCCCTGATAATGTGCCTTTTGTGATTAAATCCTGTGATGGTGTTGCTTGTATAGTTATGTGGACAGAATTGGCAATAGAGTTTGTTGCAGGGGTAGGTTCCTAGGTGAGTGTATCTGAGGTGTGATGTGTGACTGCTGGAAAGGATTTGCTTCAAGTTGGAGAGTTGTCTGTAGGCGAGGATTGGCCCGTCTCCCAAGGCATTCCATATAAGAAGAGATTTAAAAGACTGGGACTTTTCAGCTTAGAAAAGAGATGACTATGATATAGGCCTTTAAAAACATGACTGCTGTGGAGAAAGTAAATAAATCTAGATAGTCGCCAAATGAAATTGAGAGGCAGCAGATTTAAAAAAAAGGAATTGTTTCCTCACAGAATGCACAGTCAACCTGTGGAACTCCTTGCAAGAGGATGTTATGAAAGCCAAGACTGTAACAGGGTTCGAAAAAAGGATTACATAAATTCATGGAGGGATCAGTCCATCAGCTATTAATGAGGATGGGCAGTGCTGGTCCCTACCCTCAGTTTTGTCAGAGGCTAGGAATGAGTGACGAGATGGATCATTTCATGGCTCCCTGTTCTGTTCATTCTCTCCAAAGCACCTGTCATTGGTCACTGTCAGAAGACCGGATATTGGGCTAGATGGACCTTTGATCTGACTATTCAGGTTCCTGTAGCTGTGTATGGTTCTTCTTACATCATAAGGACACTTTCCTTGACATGTTTCCAGAGAAATCTAAGGGCAAGACAAGCTTACATCTCTTCTTACTCACATGAGCAGCATTGGATGACAACTTCTTTATCTGATTACCCTTCAGTAACATGGTCCAAGATATAGCTGGAATGTCGTATCATCCAACTGCTAGTGCTTCTCCTACTAGAGAGGAGTTTGATTTTGCAAAGTGCATCTTCTAGTAGTTTTCTTCAGAAATTGAGATGTAGAAAATCTTTTGGGCTGCACATCTAGCTCTCTAACAATATATGACAGTTTTTAGCAACCTGTTGTTGTGTGCTCTGTCAGTTTCATATGGCTCTGGCTGCAAGACTTTCACCACTGTCATGGCTGTTAAGTCAGTTTTCCTGGTATTCCGGTTAAATATTTTCTTTTACACGGTTCCTTCCCTTTCTCCTAGATCAACCTTCTTGGGCCACACTAAGCAATTCATCTTCTTTGGTTATTTTCTGCCTTTATTGCCTATATATCTAACCTCAACATCCTTTATTTTTATCCTGTTAGTTGCAAAGTCGTCCAATTAGGTTAGTCCTTATTTCTGGTTCCTTTAATGAAGAGGTTAAACAA